AGACAAGTGTGAGGAGTGGCATGAAAGAATCAAGGAGACATCCCAAGACATAATAGCACTCACAGAAACAAAACTCACCAGGATGGTAACAGATGCAATCTTTCCACTCAGATATCAAATCCTCAGAAAAGATAGAGGGAGGAGAGGTGGAGGAGGAGTTGTACTGCTTATTAAAAACCAGTGGGGATTTGAGAAAATTGAAGGAATGGATGGCATAGGCGAAAGGAACTACTTAGTAGGAACAATCCAATCTGAGGGCCATAAGGTGGTAATTGCAGTAATGTACAACCCACTACAGAACTGCAGGAGGCCAAGAGTAGACTACGACGAGAGCAACAGAGCAATGGTCGACACACTAGCCGAGGTGGCCAGAAGAGCTCACATGAGGGGAGCAAAGTTCCTTGTTATGGGTGATTTCAATCACAAGGAGACTGACTGGGAAAACCTGGAGCCCCATGGGGGTCCTGAAACATGGAGAGCCAAGATGATGGATGTGGTACTGGAAAACCTCATGCATCAGCATGTTAGAGACACTACCAGAGAGAGAGGTGAGGATGATCCAGCAAGACTGGACATTGTATTCACCTTGAGTAGTTCGGACATCGATGATATCATGTATGAAAGGCCCCTAGGAGCTAGTGATCATGTGGTTCTGTGCTTTGACTACATAGTTGAGCTACAAGTGGAGATAGTAGCAGGAATAGGATGGGAAAACCAAACTACAAAAGGGGGGACTACACAGGCATGAAGAACTTCCTGCAAGACGTTCAGTGGGAGAGAGAACTGGCAAGAAAACCAGTAAAAGAAATGATGGACTATGTGACAATAAAATGCAAGGAGGCAGAGGAAAGGATTGTTCCCAAGGGAAACAGAAATAGTGGGAAGACCAGAACGAGTCATTGGTTCACCTAAAGGTGTAGGGAGGCAAAAAGTAGGTGTACTAGAGAATGGAAAAGGCACAGAAGGATCCAGGAAAATAAAGAGATCAGCCGAAGAGCCAGAAATGAATATGCACAGATAAGAAGGGAGGCTCAGCGACAGTACGAAAATGACGTAGCATCAAAAGTCAAGTCTGACCGGAAGCTGTTGTATAGCCACATCAGGAGGAAAACAACAGTCAAGGACCAGGTAATCAGACTGAGGAAGGATGATGGGGAGCTCACAAGAAACAGCCAAGAGGTATGTGAGGAGCTCAACACGAGATTTAAAGAAGTATTTACAGTGGAAACCGGTAGGACTCCAGGAAATCAGAACAGGGAGGTACACCAACAAGTGCTGGATGAGGTAGACATAAACGAGGAGGTGGTGATGAAGCTGCTATGTGAACTTGATACCTCAAAGGTGGTTGGACCAGACATCTCTCCATGGGTCCTTAGAGAGGGAGCAGAGATACTGTGTGTGCCACTAACAAAAATCTTCAACATATCCATTAAAACTGGGCAACTCCATGAGGTATGGAAGATGGCAACTGTAGTCCCAATTTTTAAAAAAAGGAGACAGACACGAGGCATTGAACTACAGACCTGTGTCACTAACGTGTATAGTATGCAAAGTCATGGAGAAGATCATCGGGAGGAGAGTGGTGGAGAACCTGGAAAGAAACAAGTGTATAATCGACAACCAGCACAGTTTCAGGGAAGGAAAATTCTGTCACAAACCTACTGGAGTTTTATGACAAGGTGGCAGAAGTAAGACAAGAGAGAGAGGGGTAGATATACTGCATTTTCTTGTACTGCAAGAAGGCCTTTGACACAGTTCCTCACAAGAGGTTACTGCAAAAGCTAGAGGATCAGGCAACATATAACAGGAAAGGCACTGCAATGGATCAGAGAATACCTGACAGGGAGTCAACAACGACTCATGGTACAGGACAAGGTGTCAGAATGGGCACCTGTGACAAGCGGCGGCCCACAGGGGTCAGTCCTACGACCTGTGCTGTTTTTGGTGTATGTGAATGACATAACGGAAGGGATAGACTCAAAAGTGTCCTTGTGTGCAGATGATGTGAAGTTATGAGAAGAATAAAATCAGTCGAGGATCAGGCAGGACTACAAAGAGACCTGGACAGGCTGCAAGCTTGGTCCAGCAACTGGCTCCTTGAATTTAACCCTGCCAAATACAAAGTCATGAAGATCGGGGAAGGGCAAAGAAGACCTCAGACAGAGTATAGTCTAGGTGGCCAAAGACTGCAAACCTCACTCAAGGAAAAAGATCTTGGGGTGAGTTTAACTCCGAACACATCTCCTGAGGCATACATCAGTCAGCTGCTCAGCATATGAGGCTCGGGACCTAAGGACTAGTGTTCCAAACTTGTAAGTGGATCGCAAGGACTTGTACACATTGCAGGCCCACACTAAGTATGCCAGCACCATTGAATCCACCGCCTCAAGTACGTCAAAAATTGAAGTTGCAAAATTCACAAGACTAGTCACAAGCTAGGGATTGTCCTACGAAAGTAATTCCTGTACAACACTGAGACAGGCAGGGAACTGATAACGCACATAAAACCTGCACGATAGACAGGACAAACAAGGTGTTCACAGAACACGAGGCAGAATTTGAGTAAACTAGATAGTCAAAGGGGTAGTTAGGAACTATTCTTAAGTCAGAACAGGCTGTGGCCTAGAAAGTGACGTATGACAGGAGAACCAACATATTTTAAGACGAGTTAAAAAACTCCTACAACAGGGAAGAGAAACCTACTACAGTCATGAGACGGGGCCAGAGCATGATCGACGATGCAACCCAAAATACCTATAACACAACACCCACATCCCATAACAGAACACATCACAACACACACACACACACACATCTCCCCTACACTTTACACAACACACACACACTCCACTACATACACACACTCCCAAACACACACAACACACCAACACAACACACACACCTCCCCTAACACACCACACAACATAACCTCCCTACACACACCACACACACCTCCTACACACACACACTCCCTAACATCACAACCACACTACACACATCACACACACATACCCACCCCCCAACACACGCACACACCTTCCCACCACACACTCACCTAATCACACGCCTCCCCTACCACAACACACAGACAACACACACACACACACCTCTCCTACCACAACACACTACCCCCCACACACACCACCCCACATTCACCTCCCACACACCACACACCCTCTACCACACACACCTCCCTCACCACAACACCTCCCTACACACACATACATCCCCCTACACACACCCCCACCACCTCAACACACACCCCACACACACACACACACATCACATACACACACACAACACACACCACCCCCACACACAACACACACACACACACAACCACACACCCCCACAACACCCCCACACACACCACCTACCTCCCGACACACACACACACACCCTCTACACACACACCCCTCCTATACACAACACCCACACACCCACACACACACACACACCTCCCCAACACACACACACACACACACACACTCCACCACACACATCCCTTACATATACACACTCCTCCCTACACACACACACCCCACTACACACCACACAACACAACCTCCCTACACACACACCTCCCCTACACACACACACACATCCCCTACACACACACACCACACACACACACACACTCCCTACACACACAGACACACACACCACACCCCACACACACACCCTCCCTACACACAACACACACACACCACACACAAACACACACACACATCCACCAAACCCAACACACACACACACACACCCCACACACACCACCTCCCCTACCACAAACCTCCCCCTACACACACACCACACCTCCCCTACACACATCTCCCCTACACACA